TCTCTGCCCTGTGGGAAGTCCAAGGACCACCCACCTCCATCCAGGTCTAGTAAGGTGAGCATCCACGAAACTGCCTAGGCTCCCACGAAACCAATAGGTCCAGTAGAATCAAAAACCCGTTGCCATTGTTCTTGAGGTCTCAGTAGTCCTCCTTGTCCGCTATGTTCAGCGAGACCAGTTTTGACCCAGGCTTTTTCAGACCCAGGCCAGCTGGCCTTGGTGAGTTCCTGATAGAACATCCCCATTGTCTCAGTGTATGGGTGCACCCCTCGAGGTCCTGAGTTCCTTGCTTGTGCTCTCTCTCCTTCTGCTAAGAGGACTTTCTTAAAGCTGTTTTACAAACAGAAGTGAGCAAGCATATGGAACTAGTTACTACGGAGAGGGTGTTAGATAGAGAGCGTTAGAGCACAGAGGGGACAGAGGAGATTCCTAGCTGACACCCAGGAGAAAACAGCAGGAATTTAGCTACACAACAGGAGAGCAAACAGGCTCATTTTCACTCAGAACAAGAAGGTCTCGTCACCTTTGGTCACAGATTTGACTTGAGTTTTTCTATTAATTTATGCCATTACTTTCCTTGAAAAATGCCCCCTTGTCCCTATTTCGTTTTGACTCACTGATTTTTGTCCTTTCTTGCTGAAACTGAAGTCAGAGTGATAAAATGACCTGAATTCTGGGTACCAGGGAATTTCATTATCTTACTCCCCAGGATTAAAAAAAAAAAAACAAAAAAAAAAAAACACAACAACAAAAAAACAAAACAAAACACCAAGATCACTTTCCCCCTTTTCATCTAGTTACCACCCTTTCTTACACACACACACACACACACACACACACACACACACACACGCACTTTCACCAGCAAACAACTAAGTGCTGACTATGTAAAGCACCATTTCAGATGTTCAGTGGAAAACAAAGATGTAAGTTGGAAAGGTGACGATTTTAGCATCTAGGTTTAGCAACCAGGAGTCTTGTAGACAGTTAAAAAAAAATGCATAACCATAGCAAAGGATAGAAATAAAAAAATGGCACTTCCTCGGGGATGCGACCCAGGCCTTTGGAGAGGCTGATGGCTGGCTGGGCCTTTGGGTAGAGGGAACAGCTGTACCTTCATTCCCTTTTCTTTTGATCCACTGCCCATTTGGTGACTGTGAGGGTTTGTAAACAGGCCACTGATCTAGACCAATCTAGTCAGACTGCTGGAGCAATCGCTAAAGGAACGCTCTCCTTTTTCTGGAGTTGCACACTCAAGGACAGAACCGGTGCTATGGTGGCTGGTTTTGGTGCCACATGGATGGAGAAGCTGAGGGTGAAGGCAGCACAGGAAAGCAGAACCAAGACAAAGTCAGACTCCTGAGGACAGAGACAAAGGGAATGAAATCTGACTCTAGTCCTTTATTTAATATGAGCCGTCATGTTAGTTTACTTGATTGAGCTAATCTGGGCTGATTAGGAGGGTTTGTAATCTGGAGGTGGAAAATCAGTAAGGGTATTCACAGCAGAGTGGGGAACAGACATCTGCTGCCGTTGGAGATCAGAAGTGAGACGGGGCCAGGTGCTGGAAAGCGGAGAAGCAGTTGTTTATCACTAATAAGCAGGAGAAACCATGGGCAGCTTTTAAGTAAAAAGGTACAGATGGGAGAGGAGACAAGAGTGTGAGGGAAGGCTGAGCGAGATAACTCACGGGCTTCTCTCTACCTGAGGCTTTGCACAGAGGGCACGAGCTGGGGATGAGACTGAAGAATAATGACAGACGGGGCCAACGATGTAGGGGTCCTGGTGAGAATGAGGAAGGGAGCTGGGAATGAAACAGACAAAGAATTGGCACCGTGTTGATGAATGGACATAAGGAACGCAGGAAGAAGGCAGGTGATGCTGAGTTTCTATAGCTCAGAACAAAGAGGATGATGGCTCCACTAATGGAAATGAGGTGTGGAACAGGTTTGGGAGAAGATGGATTGTTTTCCCTGAGACTTCTGAAGGAGTGGGTAGGTTGGACAGGGCCTTGAGGTCCTCTCCAATTCTAGAACTTTTGGTTCAGGAGCAAGTCAGGCTGCAAAGGAAGACCTGAGCATAAAAAAATCATATTAGTAAGTGAGCTAAGAAGATACCTAACACAAAGATGAACCTATGGCAGAAATGACCTTGCCTGATGCTCCCTTTCATCCGAACACTATTCATCCCCTGTACCCCACAACTCCTGATGCCACCAGCCGTGTCCCCCTGCAGTGCTAACATAAAGGATTCCCTTTTGTAGAGGGGAGGCAGTTTTCCCCAGAACTCAATCTACATGTTAGAGCATCTTCTCCTAGCTGGGTTGGGAAGTATGGTGGAGGTCATTTTCTTTAAGCACAGTCTCAGGAGCTGAAGCAATACATCAAGCGACAGCTGCGCTAATGCTATGATGAGAACAGTTTAGGAGACACAGCAAGCCCACAAGATAGCCTGCTGCCTGTCTCAGCTGTACCCCACCCCCATCAGTGTAGGAAACCAGCCTCACCCCAGGCTCTCCTGGCGGGATTTGGCTCTGAGAAGTCTAATCCCTTTGTCCGGGACAGCTTATCCAGTATTTTACTATCATGGCCATTCTGAAGCTTTTCCACATTACATATCTCCATGGACGAGACAGCTAAAGCTCTGTGCTTGGCTGAGAGCCCAAAGGGACAGAAGAGAAAGAGTGGCCACTGCTTGAAAACCACACAAAGGAGACTTGTTTACGTACAGTTCATGGACGGCCTCTTTCTCCTCCCCCAGCCCAACACACAAACACTGGCTTTGTTTTACTCAAGAAGTTCCTAAACAAACACAGTTTTACAGAGCTGATGTCTCCAGAAGTACTCTATTACCAGGAAGGCATTTTAATTACCCTCTATTAAAAGGAACAAATGTAACTTCCTATGTTTGTAAATTGTTATCAGAAATAGTCTGGTCATTAATTAAGCAAAAACAGTAACAATAACACAAGTGAGATTAATATTGAGACTATCTAAGTTCTATTTTTTATTGAAAAAATTAGTTTACTCTGTTGTTATTGTTTCTACCACTTTTTTTTTTTTCTGAGGCAGTTTGGGATTGGAGGAACAGCTCTGAAAATGTTTATATGTACTTAATTCTTTTGCATTAAGAATTCCTCATTGACTTTTCTATTCCTAGGAGCCAGGTTCAAAGGCAATCCAACTTTCTGAGAGAAACTATGTTCTTGTTGATATTTTTTTTTAAAAAAAATCTTCCTTCACGTTCATTATCCAAAATAACCTTACTTCAAATATAAGTGTCTTAAGGCATAGTTACAAATTCAACCACCTTCTAAAGACTCTCCGGCACCTGAGGGGATACAGTTGGTGGCAAGCCCTTGTTTTGTGTGCTCGAGGTTCTAGGTTTAATCTTCAGCAACAGAAGGGGAAAAAAGCTTCCCGTCAAATACATTCAGTTACCCTTCCCTCTCTCTTCCAGCCACAGCTAGTGACTCTGGTTCTCTCTAGGCCTCAGTTTTCCCACCACAAGCCACACCATTAACAACCAAGAGATGGGGGCAGGAGGAAGCTTCCTAATTTCCCCATCCGTGGAATAAGGCAAGATGCAGGTAACTATGAGACTTTGGAGTTCTACACTAAGTTGCTTTGTAAATGGCTAATTAAACACAGGAAAATCAAGAGATGCTTAAAAAAAATTGGACCTGGGAGTGAAGGAGTGGTCACACAGCTGTCCTTCCTGCACTGCGTTATTCTGCTGTGACCGAGAGAAAGACTCACAGACTTACTGAACTATTGCCATTGAAAGACTCACAGACTTACTGAGCTATTGCCATTGAAAGACTCACAGACTTACTGAGCTATTGCCATTGAAAAGCTCAACTGTAGATCAATAAAAATCAACATCTCTTTCTTAGAATAAGCTACTGTCTAATGATTTGTGTACCAATTTTAGAGATGGTATGCTTCCAAG